CCGCGCCCCGCCCCGTCCTCAGGCCACGCCCACCGGTGTTGGGGCCCCGGACCCGCGGCGGCGAGCGCTCTTCGCTTCCCGCCAGGTGTAGACTTTGGTCTGGGCAAGGTGCAGAGCGTCTTTAGGCCTTAGTTTCCTCCTCCGTGCAGTGGGATCCATAACGGCGCGTTCCTCGGGCGTACTGCTGAAGGTCGGGCGCCCTGCCCGCGGGCCGCTCTGGTGCGGGCCTGGGCCTGACCCGGACACACGCCCAGGCTTCCCAGTGAACTGTTGGTGCCACACGGCTGCGCGCTGCCCCTTGGGAGGAGCGCTGCCCCAGGGACAGCCCGGGGGATAGAGTCCGATCTGCCAAGGGGGCTGCTGGCGATACGGGTCCCCTCGACGGCACCCGGGAGAAGTGGCCCTCCTGTCTGGGGGTCAGGAGAGAGCCCCGGGGGTGGTGACCTTGGGCCTGAGAGCTGAGGGCTGGGACACAGGCAGAGGCGCGGCCGGAGAGGCGCGTGTGGTCCTGGGTGCCAGAGGTGGCTTGCAAGGGGGAGCCCAGCTGAGGGTCCAGGGGGACCAGAGCAGGCCAGGCCTGGCAGGCGGGGGAGGGAGCTGGGTGATGGCTGGGGGCTTCTGGAGATCAGTTCCTCGCTCAGTCCTTGACTGGGGGACTGTGGGGAGGTTTCTTACCCTGGCCCCCACACAAGAGGATCTCATTTGGTCCCTCACGGTCCTACCACTCAGCCCGTGTTCCACGGGGCCCACACTGCCTGTCATGGCAAACCATTGGTGACAACGTGTTCAGCATCCGTCTTCCCTGCCAGCTTGTCAGTCAGACCCGGGGGGCCAGGGTTGGTCTGGCCCCCAGTAGGAGGATGCTGGCCATTTGTTCACAGACCCAGTAACCAACTGACCAACTCACTCTCTTGATCACTGAGGCCGAATGATCCCCCTGTCCCCCCCCACTGCCACCCGTGTAGTCCACATCTTCAAAAGATGCAGTAGGCTTCCCAAGTATCTTAATCCTAGCAATGGGGGGCTTGGACCCCAGATGGGAAACACCGAGGCCCTGGAAAGGGATCTCTCTCCCATGGCCAATGAACACACAAAGCATCTGGTTTATTCATCAGTCTTGTATGCGTTTGGCTACAATAAATTGTTCCCAAGACTAGCTCTGGGTTCTGCCCAAGTGGAGTTTCTTGCCTGGGATGCTGATGTCATCTCTGGAAGGTAGTGACCATTGCTTATCAAAGGGCACCTGTCCTCCACTCCCAAGGGGACACCTGGTTCTTGGTTGTGAGAGCTGGGTTCAGAGGAAGGAGAGTTTGGAGGGCTTTGGTCAGACATGCCCTTGTGTGTCTGCCTTCTCTTGGGCACACTGTCCTCGACTCTGACAGTCTCTGGGACAGAAATGGAATCCTACCAGCTTGGCTGGCACTGCCCTGTGGACCGTTCCTCTCTGGCGCACACAGTGGAGCTCACCCCCCAGAAACCAAAGGAATACGCTGACATAGAAAGCACAGTTTTCAGAGTTGGGAGGCCAGCTGTGGCTCATGTCCACCTGCTCGACCATGGGCCTCCTTGGGCCTTGTGCTGACATCTGGACATGAAGGACAGCAGTGTTATCCCCGTTCCTGGGCTGAGGGGCCTCAGAGGTGTGAGGTGCCCAAGGGACCCAGTGACCGCCCGCTGGGTTGGCAGAAATCTCCCATTCCATGCTAGCTGTGGCTTGCAGCCCACCCGTCACACCTCTAGGGGGCGTCTCCCACCCACTGTTTGGACTCAAACCAGCGCTCCCCTCTCAGAAACCTGCAGTCGGGAACCAAGTGAAGGCTTTTCCTATTCCCTTGGCACCTGGCCAGGGGGCCCATCATGGCATTTTGAAAAAAAGTCTAATTCTTCACATCGGGCATATGAGGAACTGTTCCCGCCATGTCGCCTGCAGGGCTCAGCCTGGCCCAGGGGAGGAGGGGAGCCCTGGGAGGCCAGGCTCAGCGGCTGGTCACTCCTGATCAGTCAGGGGGTGTGTCGCCTTCTTTGTGGGGTTGCTAGATTTAACGTAGAAAAATAAAGGATGATGCTCAGTTAAATTTGAATTTCAGATAAGAAATGAATAATTTCACAGTATACATATGGCTCAAATATTGTGTGGATATACTTATATCCAGTATTATTCTTTGTCTATTTGAAGTACAAATCTAACTGGGTGTTCTGTATTGTACCTGATGATCCTCCTCCTTTTGCCCGAATGGCGGTCTGGTCAGCAGCTTGATTTGTCTTGTGATAGAGAGACTGCCAGGCCCATGGCGTCCCAACTGCCTCTCACTGAAGTGAGCCTCGTGAATGAGGGACAGGGAGGCCCAGTCCCTGCTGGCGCTCCTTAGGGTTTGTAGGGGGAGTGAGCGACTCGGGCTGTGATGGCCAAGGGCAGCCCCCAGGCCCTGGCTTCCCAGGCGCTGATCTTGTGGGCACAGAGGACCCCCAGGTAAGAACACAAAACAGCCGATTTCATCACCTCCCCACCTTACCCTTGATGGGTAAGTCCTTTTTGCCTGGAGTGGGGTGCATGCGTGCACTTCCTGGCCCTGGGCTCTGGGACGGACCACACAGAGGAGGGCTGGGTTCTGGCAGTCCGGCTTCTCAGAGGGCAGCCCCTCAGCAGCAGCTCACATCACACGGGGGACTTGTCAGGAATGCAGATTCTCCCATAGCTGCAGATGCATGCACACGTGCAGCCCTGCTGAGTCTGGGTCTGGGGGGCCAGTACTCTGCGGGAAGCAGCCCTCCAGGGTCTTCATGGGAGGACCACAGAGGGCGTTCCACCCAGCAGCCTCTCTCGCAGTTCTCAAGTGGCCTTGAGGCGGGATGGGGGCCAGGCTGAGCTGCTTTGGGTCACTGTTTCATTTTCCAGTTTCTTGGGGAAGCTGAGCCTCCTGTCTACTGCCTGTCTGGGGACACGTGGCCTCCCAAGCCCTTGGTCATCAGAGCCAGTCCCTGAGGACAGCTGTGAGCACAATGGCCTCACCTGGACTGTAGGGGCCAAGCCGTCGGGAAGTACCCTGCTTATTTTTTGGAGGTGGCTATTTTTCTCCCCTTTGTGAGTGGGGAAACCGAGGCACAGGAACCTTGGGCAAGTGGTCTGCTACACCAGCTGGGGAGCCAGGCTTTGACCGTGGAGGGCCAACCCTGTACTCTCTCACCTTCCCTGAGAGTGGGGGTCCCGGGGGACCGTACTCATATTTTGTCCCCCCTGCGGGGACTGACCAATCTGCCCCTCCTTCTCTCTTCCCACGGCCTCGAGGGAGCCTATGGGCCAGTTTGTAGGGTCACCCTTGTCCAGGAGGGGTGTGGGCGCTGAGGGCATGGAGAGCGTGGGCAGAGGTGCAGGGAAGGGAGCCCTACCACAGGCGGGTGTTTGTTCTCAGCTTCCCCGCTAGACACGGCCCAGCCCCAGGGCACAAGGAGCAGACCGTTGATCTAGAGATGGTATTTTATGGATGTTGGCTTTGGAGACCTCCCGCCCCCGAGATGGTTCAGA